TGGTAAGAATAGACACATAGAATATCATGAAGAATTATAATTTTTGCATCAACATCTGACGCATAGGATGAAGATGTAAAGAGGCAAATTGACATGAACTAAAAATTAAAGAATAAAATTCTAAAAAAGAAAAAAATTATATTTTACCTGGTATCCTTAACATTTGTGGGGGAGGGGTGGGTATGACATGCTTTGTCAGTCTGGTAAAACCTATGTACCCCTTCTAATGTTTTAAACACATAAAATAAAATAAAAAAAAGAGATTAAAAATGTAAGCAACTTTATAAAAATACAGTGACCAAAAGAAAAAAATCATCAACCTCAAGTTAAGAACTCCTGTTCTAAACCAATTCAAAATATACCTTGAGTCTAAGTGACCTCAATGGCCACAGGAGATGGTAGTAATAAATACATTGCCACATGTGATTTGTCATTAAGACATGGAAAAGGATAGATTAATTATAAATTATTCAGAAGTTTGAAAGCTACAGGTTTATTATATTGAACAAGAAGCAGAGGTAAATTTTTTTAATATTGGTTAAAAAAGAGAAATATAGATAAGTGAATTTGTAGAGCCGGGAATTGGGTTAACCTTTCTGAAAAACAATTTTGAATTCTCTAAGAAAAGTTACTAAACAATACATACCCTCTGACCCAGAAATTTCATTGCTAGGCATATAGTCCAAGGAGGTCAAAGGTAGGGGAGAAAGGTCATGTATGTGTGTATACACACACACATAAACATACGAGTACGTATGCACACATACATATGTGTGCATTAATAAAAATGATTACATGTCATAAGATAATCATTACAATCTATCATAATGGTATATTAAATATATATTATGAATATATATTACATATTATAAAATATATACACCTTTTTGTGATAATAAAACCCTGAAAACAAGTGGGTGCTTATTAAGTTAGGAGTGTATGAACAAACTGCGATGTTTTAATATTAAAGACTACCATTATGTCATAAAAACAATGACTAGAAAAAATGTAGAGAAAGATGGAAAGATATACAAAATAACGTGAAATGAAAGAGAGAGCCAGGAAACATGACAGATAGACAGATATAGCTATAGATACAGATACATACACATATATACATGCATACATATATTTATAAATGTGTGTGTGTGTGTATATATATATATATACACACACACATATACACACACACACACACACACACACACACACACACACACACACACATATATATATATAGTATATTTAGAATATTCTTCTGTTTACTCCTAGGTCCAGTTTCAGTTCCTGGACTAAGACTTTATGCCAGGGGAAATCTTTGGTTCCCTCACACTGTTGAATGGGGTAGACAGACTCTATTTGATCTAGGGCAGTTAGGTAGTACATTGGATACAGAACTGTTGGTCTGAAGTAAGGAAATTCTGAGTTAAATATGGCCTTCAGCCACTTATTAGCTGTGTGACCCTGGGCAAATCACTTAACCTATATTTGCCTCAGTTTCCTCAACTGTAAAATGGGGTTATCAATAACACTTATAATATTTGTAAAGTGCTTAGCACAGTGTCTAGTACACACTAAGTGCTAAATAAATGTTAACTATTAGTAGGTATTATTGACCCATCTGTAGACTGGACGCTTCTCCTGCCACATGCCGACTTCTGCCTCTATCTTTTGGTGGTCTACTTTGAGTCCTAGACTCAGTTCCTTATGTTTTCTTTTCATGGACCTATCCACACCACCATACTTTCTTTGACCCTAATTTATCATAATCACATGTAAAACCTTAGAAAATAGTGAAAATGTTGTCTCTTCTTTAACAAAGGAAGATTTTTTTAAAATGGAATTACAAATTATAAATGACAATTTGAAAACTTACTAAAAATCACTACTAGTAAAAAAATGAAAATTAAAACAAGTATAGCATAGTGAAAGAATAGAAAATATATGCATTAGACTGGGAAGACCAGCACATAAACATACTTTTGGTAAGTTTGTCAATATATGTGTATGTGTATATATGCATATTCAAATGTATAAACATATGTCTTTATGGTAAAATCTTTCATATTCATTCCATTTTGAGTTAACTGTAGGATATGGTATAAGATGTTAGTTTAATTCTAATTCTTACCAATTGCTTTCCTGTTTTCCCAGCAGGTCATGTCAAATGCAGAGGTCTTTTCTCCAGGTGATTTGGGTTTTTGAACTCAATTAATTAAGATTCTTCCTATCTAATATATTCTACTGATTTACTTTCATATTTTTTTCAAACAATACCACATACTTTTGATGATTGCTGCTTCATAAAAATAATGAAGTCTGGAAGGGCTATTCCTTCTTTATTCCGTTTTTTTCATAATTTCCCTTGAGATTCTATATCTTTTGTTCTTCAAAATGAATTTTGTTATTATTTTGTCTCACTCCATAAAATTGCCTCTTGGTAGTTTGATTGATATAGCACTAAATCTGTAACTTAATTTAGGTGGTGTCATTTTTATTACAGTTGTGCAGACCAACTATTAGTATTACATCTCTCTCCAATTATTTGTCTTTTTTAAAATTTCTTTAAAACCTGTTTTGTGATTGTATTTGTATGTCTGGAGTGTGCTATAGTAGATTTATTTTCAAATATTTTATATATTTTATTATTATTATTATTTTGAGTATAATTTCCTATTCTATTATTCCCTCCTGGATTTTGTTATTGCTATATGAAAATGCTATTGATTTTAGTGTGTTTATTTGCATCATGCTACTTTACCATCTATTAATTGTCCCAATTAATTTCTTTCCTGATTCTCTGGGGTTTTATAATGAAACCATAAAAATTAGTGATAATTTTGCCTCTTCTTTGGCAGAGAAAAAATTTTTTAAAGGAATTGTAAACTATAAATGACTATTTTAAAACATACTAAAGTGATTAACAGTAAAGAGAAATAAAAAATTAACACAAATATTACCCAATAAAAGAATAGAAAATCTCCAATTTAGGGGAATTCTGGGAAGACTGCCACATAAATATATTTTGATGTGGTTGTGAATTACTCCAACAATTTTAGATATCACTTTAGAACTATAAAAGACATAAGACTGAATTATCATTAAATTATAATCCATTGGTACCACTACCAGGCATGCAAGTGAGATACACAGAGAAAAAGAGAGAGACAGAAATAAACAGAGATATGACAGAGATGACAGAAGGAGATCAGATAAAGAAATAAATACACAAACATATGTAAATATTCATAACAACATTAAATGTGGCAGCAAGGAACCAGACAAAAAGTAGGTACTGCCCAATAGAGGAAAGTTGAAAACTATAATGTATAATATAATCAATTATTATTGTGCAAAAAGAAATGATAAATATGAGGGATTCAAAGTAGCATGGGAAAATTTGTATAAACTTATGCAAGATGAAATAATCAAAGCCAAAGTACAAATATGCATAATAACTACAATGATGCAAATGAAAAATGTCACTAAAAGGAAGCCCAATTTAACGAAAACATTGACTCCCCCAGAAAACAAGGTATGAGACACATCTCCTTAGAAGGGAGGAAGAGACTTTTTAGGCAGAACTTTGCATTCATTTTCAGATGCATTTATACTATCAGGTCTTTTTTGCAAAGTTTTTGCTATTTGTTACAATGGAGGGTTCAACGGCCGGGTGGGGGAAAGAGGAGAAAATTATTTCTATACATGTGATACAGAGATAAAAAGCATAATTTTAAAAGTTTAAACAACAGTTCAATGAATGAATAAATTGGTCACAGTTTATATAGTATCAATATTTACATAGTGTGATATGAGGATGCTTATTTCAAGCTAATTGGGGACACTGAGGGTTTAAATTGTCTTAAATAGCATATGGCTAGAAGCCAATTGAAAGTGAATTAAGGAATGGATGAAGAAGATAACTTTATTGATCCTATTAAGATATGTCTGTCTACACTTATCCATCCATGTCTCTGATTCTATCTCTCTGTCTCTGTCTCTCACATTCTGTTTTCTTCATTGCCCTCACTTCATCCTTTATTTTATTTTTTAAGCTCCATACTCCATTAAAGGCTTCTTCTGATGCCTCATTATGATATGGATGAGACTCAGGCTTCTAGAAAGCAATTCTTCCTGGCTATAAGCTCTGACAGTCCTGACAAACTATTTGTTGGCTGAGGATTAGCATAGCTTTCCTCACAGCATCACTGCCAAAGGACTGCCCACCAGGTGATGATTTTTTTTCCAGCACCTCATTAAACCATCTACTAAGGCATGGAGAAGTTGTGATATGCATTCATAGAAAGAGTATTCATGTGTATAAAATTGTAGATCCTTGCAATATTGAAGTGTTGAAGTAAGAAACTATACAAACCTGACGCATTTTTAAAAATAGCACTCCCCAAAGATGCATTTCATTAATCCAGTCAATTAACTCCAGATTCTAAGATGGAATCTGCATTCTTCAGTCACATAAAATAACACAGCTAATTTGCATTCAGCTTTACCATCATGGTGACATTAGTAGAAAATCTAGTTTGCAAGTATACCATAACTCAGAATTTATAACTCACCTTTAAGACTCCTGCAATGAGATGATTTGTATTCTTGTCAATCAATATAAAAAATAATGATTGCAGAAACAACTCATCTATAGAAAGTGGACTCATCCTGACTGCCAAAAAGTATTAAAATCACAGACTCATTGAATTTTTTGAACCTGAAAGGACCTTAGAGAGTGTCTATTCTAAGCCTCTCACTTTAGAGATGAGGCTTCAGAGGCCCTGGGAAATGGTGACTTTGCCCAAGATGACACAGATGCCCAAGATGAGTAGCAGCCTCGTATAGGATCCTTTATGTTTGGTGTGCCTTCATTGGTTAAGAGACAAAGGCAAACAGCCTTGTTGCTTTTCACGTTCATGTTCAAAGGGGTTGGAGGTTCTTTTTCATTTTAACATGTTATCCTTTTAAACGGTAAAATGTGATTCGTAAATAATTACCGTACTGTCTCCAGTTCACAGAAGGTGGTAAATGCTGCCACAGAATTAGGTTGTTCAGGTGATTTAGATAAGATGGTAAGGCATGAAATCCCTTCTGATTATACCACACCTAAAAAGGAGAGACATTTCAATGAATTTCACATTTTAAATTCATCGTGGTAGCCCCAGTTGATGGAAAGAACACTGTACTTAGAAGCAAGGCATCCAGATTCATATCCCAGGTCCACCACTTATTGGCTGTGAGACTCTTGGAAAATCATACAACTCCCCTCAGCTTCAGTTTCCTTATTTTTCAAATAGAGATAATAATACTTGCACTATCTTCTTCATAAATTAAAATGCAGAACTAGCATTTTATAAACCTTAAAGTGCTTTGTAGTTCTTATCAGAACTGCAAAGCACATAATAATGTAAACTAAGCCAACATCTAATTCAGTAAATAAATATACAGTTTTTTAAAAAAACAGAAATTCAGAAGTTTGAGTTGGTAATTGTGGTCAGGTCTAGAACCTGGGTCTTCTGCCTACAGACAATTCTCCTTCCACTTTATACTGCCTCTTTTAAGTCTTCATGTAGATTTCTGAGTTCCAGACACTGAGCCCTGACAAGAAGCAATAGATTCCAGCAAACTTTCTTCTTATCTTAAATAAAATTTACAGGTAAAAATAGTTGTTTCCCGGATATGACTGAATGTATCCTTATCATTAGATTCTCAAAGCAAGTATGAATTCCAAACATTTTTTAATTTTCCATTTTTATGCAAATGAGATTTGACTGGCAAATTAATACTGCATGACAGCATCAGAAAAAAATTCTCCAAAATAAATAAATATTTCACATTAAGCATTGTTATTTAAAATAAACACTTGCAGAAAGTGGTGAAGGGAATAACATACCACCATTGTATGTGACAATAATGAAGGAAAATTTGCTGGTTTGAAAGGGCTGCAAGAAAGTGTTTAAAAGTTGGATAATGCGCATTAAAGAGAAAGGTTCATTTAATTGACTGTGTCTGAAACGAGATGAAAAGTAAATAATAATAATAATTGTTCAGCCTGGAAGTTTTTAAGTGTTTTTAAGAAGAATAGTCAATTTACTCAAGTCTCAGCCATAACTTAGTTGATGAAATTTTTCATTTCTCTAGTTGACTTTTGCTCCTTTAAGTCAAGTAATCTCATTTGCCAGAACTTTGAATTGCCAGATTCCTGTATATTGAAATAGGTTTTTCAGATGCACCTGGGACCTCCTAATTCAGAAATCCCTGTATGTCCCCCAACGTACAAAGACCTACAATCACACAACATTAGCCTTCTGTATGCAGTTTCCTTCTTTACCTCTATCTCTTAGAATAGTGAGTTTCTTTCAAGGCTTATCTTATCTAACATCTCCTATGGGAAGCTTTTTTGATTTGCTATTAGTGCTCTTTCATTTATTCTCATATATGTGTGTGTGTGTATGTATGTGTATATGCATGTTCGCATATACATGTATAACATGCAGGTGTGCATATACATATATATGTCTATGACAGTGCCTTGCATACAGTAGATGCTAAATAAACATTTGTAGGATATGATTAGCCTGAACTGGAATCCAAACTGGAGGTCAATTTGTTACTGGAACCAAGGCAATAAAGCTTGGGAACATCAGAAGCAAGATGAAGATCATCTTGGACATGGCCAAATAATTCACAGAAGACATGAATAGCTTCTAGGTTGGATTAGTCCCCTTTAACAAAATCAGAAAACCATTGATGATTCTAAATTCATGAAGGGAGGTAACCAGTGGCTCAGAGGAAAACTACCATCTGAGTGATGATATCATGGCCCAGAGAAATAGATCCACCATCTCCTCAGGATATTTGACAAATTTTTCTTCATTTTACTAATAATAATTGATTATACAACTTCTTCCCACCACCACAAGTGGTCACTTACTATAGTAAATTTTGCTATCACCAAAAATTGATAAAATCTTAGTATTCAATTCATTGCAATGCTCTATATACTGAGTTTTTTTTTTTCTAAAAGGAGAGAAATTGTGGGGGAAGCCAATAAAAACAAGACTTAATAAAATAGTCCCAAAGCACTTTATGAGTGATGATAGACATACATAGTACCCCCTTAAATTTAGGCTAGATATGAGGAAAATTTTTTTTTTAAGTATGAGATATGTAAAGCACTGAAACATCTTAGGAAAAGTCTATGGAATTTACTTCCTTTTAAACCTAAATTCCATAAAATTTAATGAATATTGGCCTCCATGTACAAGATATTCAGTACAATACCTCAAGGCAGGGAATCATTGGCTGTGCATTTGGGTTTAATTGCAGAAATGTACAGTCTTGGATAAGGATTCCTTAGAAGGAGGTGCTGAATAGTTAAAAGCAGAATTTTTCAATTGACACTAAAGCTCAGAAAACCATATTTAAGAATATAGAGCAAAGAAAATACAATCATGGTCTTACAATCTAATAGATTGAAGAATGGTGCATTGTATCTGTTTTTATGAGGAAGCGATTCTCCTGCAAAGCCAAGAAGTTAAATATTTCAACATATTTCAACGTTTTATGGAAGGTGTATACTTTTCAGGGCAGATGGGACATCGATTAGTCGGCTGGTACAGTCAACAGCTGAATGAAATAACTTTAGGCGCCTCAGAGGGAGATTTCCTGTAGTATAATGAATCATACCCTCAGGGTATTCATATGTAAATTTTCATTTTCCCTTCAAAAAGGCTATGTAAATTGTACATTGTACGTCTGGTGAACAGGCCCTGAAGGTTGAAGTAAAAGACTGGTCATTAATTACTGAAAGGTTAATGCAATAATTTGACATGACATCAGCCAAAAGCAGCTTCCAGGAGGTATTTCAGATAACAGACTGCCCTTTCTGAGTCTAATGTAACATTGTGAGAATGTTCTGCTATGAAGGGAGGCACTTTCTCACTGATCATGCAGCTATAATTTATTCCCCTACTCATGGCTGGGCAAGGACATGCCAAATAATACTAGAAATACTGACAAAAGCCAGTGCACAAACATGTCAACACAAAAGACTAATCTAATCAAAGACAAAAAGGAGCAGGTGTCAGAGAAATGCATAAATCATAGAACACTCTCAGTAGACAAACAGTGATGCAGTCAAAGGCTTCATGTGAGTTGTACAAGTGATAGACAAAACAGGAAGAGGGAGAGGACGATTTCTAAAACCATCACTACATACTTTGAATATAAAGGTAAAACAGAAAACCAAGTTTTATATTTCAGAAATTAAAATCCAAATATAAAAATATCTTAGAATAAAAAATGAAAATACATCTGTCTAAGAATCTATTCCACTAGAGGGATTATCTACATTGATGGGGTTAGATCCACTGAGTTTTACTAAAGTTGCTGTTCTCTATTAGTCCAGAACTATGATCTCACCAGTATGGGGAACTCCTACTGTGTAAACTCTTTTTCACTGCACTTTCTGGGTCACTCAGTCCATATAGTTGTTGGCCTCTAGGTATATGCTACCCTCCAACATACTGACCTTCCTTTCTCAAGAAGTTCTAAATCACAGTCTTTATCTCAATACAAACTCCAAAACTCATAATAAATATCTATGCTGATGTGTCCTTGAACCCCTGGTCTCCAAGTTCATCAATCTCATCTCTTCAAACCTATAATTTTCCTTCAGTCAGTCAGAAAACATTTCTTAAGTACCTACTATGTACCTAGCACTGAGGTAAGAAGTGAGGACGCAAAGAAAGACAAAAGACAACCCTGCTCTTAAGGATTACAGGTTTGCAATCTAATGGAAGAGACAATAAATAAACACCTATCTACAAACAATATACATGCAGGATAATAAAAAGGAAAAGAGAATTAACATTTAGATAATGCTAACTATGGCCAGGCACTGTGCTAAGTGCTTACAAGTAGTATTTCATTTGATCCTCACAATGACTCTGCCAATTTTTTATTCCCGTTTTGCAGTTGAAGAAATTAAGAGATTAAGCCACTTGCCTAGGGTCACACAGCTAATAAGTTATTGAGGTGGGATTTGCACTCAAGTCTTCCTGACTCCAAGTCCAATGCTCTGTCCACTGTACCATCTAGGATGAATTAGAGGTTGTCAACAAAGGGAAGGTTAAAGAGCATTAAGAGAGATCAGAAAAGTCCACTTGCAGAGAATAGGACTTTAGCTGAAATCTGAAGGAAGCCAAGAGATTGAGATGAGGAGAGAATATAGGCATGAGGGACAGCAGGAATGGCCATATCTTATTTATTATAATCATTATCCATCCTAATCATTTCCCAATGGATGGCCCCAATACTAGCAGGAACAGCTTCCCCCAGACTGGAGCTTGGGATCTGCCCCTAACTCGACCCAGTCACCGCCCCTACACCTGCCAATAAGGCACTGAAAGAGCAGCAGGAGCAGGGATCCTTTTTGCCCAGTTCCCACCCTCAGCTCTGTGTTGACCGCACCACTCCCACCTCTCTCTCTTCCAGAGGTAATTCAAAACCCCATTCCACTCCAACCTCTGGGCTCACTATCCCCTTCCCAAAAGTCATTGTCCAAGGGCCCTCTGCCCTGTCACTCTCCAAACTCCAAAGGGCTTTATTGTCCGCTGTGAAGTCCATCGTGTATTGTCTCCTCTAATCGGACTGTGAAGTCCCCGAGAAAGGAGACTCTAACTATTCTGTTTCTATGTCCAGAGCTTTGCACAGTGCATGGCACATCGTAAGTGCTTACTAGGTGCTTTATCCTCCCATTCCACACTGCCTCCATACATGCTCAGGTCTTACTGACCCTTTAAAGTGCTTTACTTTGACAGTCCTTCAAACTTTTGTCCTATATCTTCTTTTCTCTTCACAACTTGAAAGTCACCTATACTCACTGCCTTCACTTCATCTTCCATTCACTCTCCAACCAATTAGAATATGGTTTCCATACTCTACACAAAATACTCTCTCCAGCTTACTAATGATATCTGAGTCGGCAAATCTAATACCCTTTTCCCATCTTTTCTCCTACTTAACCTCTGTACAACTTACCACTCACCTCCTCTACCTTTATATGTTCACCTTACTTGACTCTTTGACACTATACTTCTCTA